AGGCCGACACTCTATCCACTGAGCCAAACCAGTTATGGCTCTGTTTTAATTATCTATTGTTGTATAACATATCACTCCAAAGTTTACATCTAAGAGCAAGACCATTCTATATTATTGTGATTCTGTAGGTTGATTGGGATCAATTGGGTGGATCTTCTGCTCCATATGGGTATCAACTGCTGTCATCTGGGGACTTGACAGGGTTGGAATATGCAAGATGGCTCACTCCCATGGCTGCTCTTGATACTGCCTGTTGGGCAGCTTAGTTGGGGTTTTCATCAAAGAGCCCACTCATGGCTTCTCCATATAGCTTGGGCTTCTCACAGCCTGGTAGCTGGATTCAAAGAGACAAAGTCTTAAGAGCAAAAGTTCTAAGAAGCAGGAAGTAAAGCTACTGATTCTCTTAAAGACTAGGTCCAAAACTGGCACAGTAGTATGTCTGCTATGGTCTATTTGTTAATCACTCATGGAACCAGTCCAGATCAAGGAGAGAAGTCAAGTCTGCCTCTTGATTGGGACAGTGACAAAGAATTCACCACTGTCTTTAGTATATCCCCCAATTTCCTTTCCAAATATTTCCCAAATTACCCCTAAGGGGATCCTCTGAAACACAGTAAGTCTGTTAGCTTTTCCAAAACACGTCTGGTTGTTCCGTCCAGAGCAAGCCCAACGCCCTCCCTAAAGATTTCCCTCCCAAGCCCCTAGCACTGACTGTCAGCATTGGCCACTGATCAGCGCCTCCTCTGAAGTTTTATTTATGACAACACATGTACCTGTTACTTGACACTTTCCAGACTCGATTCCTTGTGTTGTATGTAGTTTCCCATTGAGTGGGTTTTATATGTTTTGGCTTTCCATATAAACCTGGGACAAGTCTTACCATTAATCAGTGCTTAGTATTTTCTGATTTGCACGCAGAGGGGGAAGGAAACTGGCACTTATTGAACACCGAGTCGAGCAAAAGGCCAGGTTTTCAGGCAGCATTTCATATTGCTCATGCGGATCCTGCAGGCATTATCATTCCCACCTGGCAGACGAGGACACCAAGTACCTGACTTGCCTGACTTCACAACAAGCAAGTGGAAGAACAAAAACTAATGGCAATTCTGTTTGATGCCAAGGCCCTTATCTTTCATTGGTGTTGTCCCGCCCGGAACTCCCTGGAAATGAAGCTGTCTGGGGAAAGCCAGGAAACCTGTGTAACTATGGACTGTGGTTTCTAGAGCATGTGAACCATGCACTCCCCGCGGAGAGGGCACGCTCGCCTCAGCCGCGCTGCGTGCAGGCATTTACCACCGCCTGGGACCAGAGCTAAACATTAACCCCCCTTGAGTCTGCTTTTCCTTAACTTGCCAGCTCCCAAGGCTCCCAGCGGCTTTGGTCACAGACCGTCTCCGTGATGGCTCCGTTTTGAACAGCTTCTGGGCATCACGATGACATGTTTGGAAACACTGTGGCATATTTGTGGTGATTAAACGTTACGAAAACGTCTAGCTCCTCCTCCCTCCACAGGCCTGTGGCTCCAGCCTTGCTGGGAGCCCTGCTGATGCCTCCATTGGAGGACTCTCAAGGGAGTCCTTGGGGCCCCTTCTCCCCAGCCTCCGAGGGGAGCAAAGCTGCTGGCCAGGCATTTCCAGGGGGTTTCGAAGGGATCAAAGAGAGAAAAGCAAACACTGAGGGAAAATGTGCTATTTATTCTTGGAACAAAGTTCCATTGGCAGCTCTATCCTCTCCAATAATGCTTGTTTTCCTGAAAGGATTACACACACGTTTGCTTCCACCCCTAGGATTTACCCGCTGCTCAACTGACCTGCACTGTCTATCTCCTGCCCCCTCCGAACCAGGCTTTCAGTGTTCTCACAGGCTGGGCAAAAATGAGAGAGATTAAAATCATCCATGAGAGAAAGTGGGTGAGTGCAGCTGCGGCAAATGCCTGCGTCAGCAGCCCAAGTCAGCAGCTCAAATAAGCTGGGCCACGTGAGTGAGTGGCCCTCCTGGGCCACAGGCGGGAGGATCCCTGGGATGCCGGGCCTCTTTCCCAGGGAAACAATGAGAGGCTACAGTTGAGCGTCGAGTCCTTCCAGGAGGAGGTGTCTCTCTTTGGGAGGGCAATTGCCTTCATTTTTTTTTTTCATGGACATTTCAGCTTTTGTTAACTAACTGAACAAATTCATTGAAGGTTTTGGGGCAGAATAGCTTCCTGAGATATCCTTTTGTGTCTCGTTCCCTTCCCTATAGTTACCCTTCCCTCCTCTGCCTCAAGGAGGTAGTAAGACCCTGGTGTGCCCTTGTCTTTGGGGTCTTGTGTTGCTGCAGAGCTGAAAACAGACGTTCTGCTCGGAGAAGACATACTTCCTCCTGCTTTTGTCTCTGCTGCCTGTACTTATTGAGGGACGGGCAGGGAGCGGGCTGTGGGTTTCTGAGGGTGCGCAGCCTGACTGAAGACTGAGTCCCTGAGAAGGAAAGAAAGAGCAGGATCGCTGGGGGTACTCACGAGGTATGGACACCTGACCCACAACACCCACAACCGGGGCAGGAGTGGGGTGGGGTAGACATGACTAATTAAGAGCTGTGGCCTTAAAATTCCTGTGTGTGGGGGCGGAAAATTTCCAAAGCCCAGGCCTCAGAAGAACCTGCCTCCTGGTTCCATGCCGGCTTGGACTGAAGCCTGGAGGAGGTGCCAGTGCAGGCAGAGTCCGGAGGGCCCTCTGCATGCTGTGTATGGCACAAGTCACCAGAGACGGCCTCGTGAACCTGGGGAGGAGGCGTGCCCCAATAATGACAGATTAAATTTCAAGGGGGAGAGTAGAAAGCTCAGGGCAAATGCAATTCAACTGAGAGAAATACAAGAAGTGTGAGGTTTCTTGCTAATCAGAGAGTAACACCTACTAAGCGCTAGGTACTCTACCAA